TTGAGTCCATTTGATTGGTCAGCGCTGACGTGTCAATTTTTAAATATTTTTTAATATATATTTTTGCCTTTTCTTTTCCCTCTAGCCGGTCCGACGCGGGCTGGCGAGGTCAACCTCGTCGGCGGGGGCAAGCTTCACCAAAGACCGGCGAGGTCGACCTCGTTGGCCCACACCTTTGGCCAGTCACCAGTCACCTGACCGGCCAGAGGGAAAAGAAAAGGTAGAAAAAAAATATATTAAAAAATTCGAAAAATATATTAAAAAATTGTCACGTCCGCGTTGGCCGAACGGCTAGTTGCCACGTTAGTGCCGACCGGCCAAATGGAATCAATTGGTAAGAAATGCAAAGGTTTAGGACTGAATTGGCAAGAAATGAAAATGTTTATGACTCAATTGACAAAGTTGAAGATTCAGGACTGAATTGGCAAAAGGGCAATAGGTTTAGGACTATATTGACAATTTTCCCCACGTTACAAATTTCCCGGTCTGTATATCAGGTCCTTTCACAAAACCTGTGGAGAGCACGTTGCGCATGCATGCACGTGAAATGTGTTAGTCAACATGCGAGGTTCTTTATTGTCAAAAGAGAGGGAGGCTATGCGTTTGTTTTCTTTTCCTCTTTTTCTCCACTTAATGGTCCCATTTGTGGTCATCATCAACATGCTGTTCCGGGACCGCCCAAAGTCATGAATTAAATCAATAGAAATAAGTTAATTTGCTAATGACAATTCCACAATCGTGCAACAATATATCCTCATAAAAGAGCGACCTTTGATACTGCTGCATGCATTGCGATAATTTTTCGTCTGCTAGACTCCGCGTCCTCATGCTCAAACCTTTCTCTTTTAGTATTCCATTTTCAGGGGGCTAAAATGGCAGATAAGTTTCTTTATGAACATAACACAAACGTTGGATGTTCTTAAATGCAGTTCAGCTTGTGGTAAAAAAAGAAAAGAAAGGAGATATAAGCGGGAGATAATGCGGGTCGCACGCCACTTATTAAGGAACCTCAAGAGTGATGAAGACCAACGTGTCTTTCAATAAGGCTTGGGTCTGGCAACACCGACCACCACCCCCTTGACGATTAAAGTATCGCAGCTTATATTGATTGATGAATGGAGAGTTCAAAGTTAGTATATGAGATAATGCATTATGGGTCGTAATACTTAGGAAACTACGAAAAACGTGGGGAAAATGTTAGCATCTTTTAAATTAAGAGAAAAAAATTACGTTTAAACTCTTCAAAGGTCACGGCAGAAGAAAGTCCTGACGATTAGAGTATTTTGTAGTGACTTGAATCCCAACCTTCCATCATAACTGATTTTCAATCCCGCGCTTTTTACGGGATACATTTTAAAATCTTTCTCATCCCGTGATCATGTATTTACCAGTCGATTATCATACATTTGCAAAGCGTAATCTTGCTTTACCATTGACAAACCAAAAAAAAAAAAAAGTTCATTAGGCTGTTTGCTAAGGAGATTGATCTGGCTTTTACACACCTGGGAGATGTATTCCTATCTGGCTTTTGAAAGGGAGAAGTAATATTTCCTCAACCCAAAAGTTTTGTTCCACACCGTTTTCAAATTGCATGTTTTTGTCAGATTTATTTACCCTTAAAGCTCATTCACAATATCTATGAAAATTCTTGAAATACTGTAAAGACAAAAGATAGGAGTTTGCTAGCAGAGTCCACTTTCCATAAAAGGTAACTACTTTTCCTTTCTTCTTTTTTTTTTAAATGCCATGAATTAATTCACACTTTGAATAAAACATTATAAAAGGTAATATAAAATTTCTTTGTTCTAACTACTGGGATAGATTTTTTGAACTAATGTTCAAACATCGTCCAATTTCAATCGTTTTACCAATTCATTTGCAATATCATTCACCTCAAAGAATACCCCAGTATCTATTACTATGGTGACATTCTCAGGAAAAGTGAGAGAGAATGAGTTTTGCTTAGATTGAGAATCGAAAAGAAAGATTAATAATATAATACTGTGGTAAAATGATGCACTTTTAAAGTGAACGATTTGTCCAATGACCCTTTATGGGTGAAAATGAGCTGGTCTTGGGTAAGTTTCCCATGCATTTTACAGGTTCCCGAGAAACGAAGAAAGAATCACCCCTATGCACTCTCTCTCTGTCTCTCTCCCTGTCTCTCTCTCTCTCCACAGTTCTTCCGTATCATCAGCCATCCAAAAAATAGAAGAGAAAGTAGGAAAAGAATGGTAATGTTACTACTTGTTTCTTGTTTCTGTACTTAGGAACTGCAGTCCTGATCCCGAGGGCAATGATAGGGACTTCTTCTTGCTCGAAAGAAGTAAAAGCAGTTCAGCTTTATCTTGGGCCATGAAAAGTCCTTGACGATTTGCTTTAAAAAAATGACATTAATTAATTCACTCTTCTTTACAACGAATCCTCTGAAACGTTGATTGTGAAACTTTGATAATGATGGATACAATCGAATCTGCTATTGCCAATACTTACCAGTTACCTATATACTCGGGGAAAGTATAAAATAGAATTGCACATACGTTTTTTTTTTTTGGGTTATAAAGACAATGATATGCACAATTTTCTTTTTGGGATTGAATAATTGTCTCCATTTCATGGGAAATTGAAGAAGGGTGATGAATCCACTCGAATTTTTTGGCGTCAATTTTGAGGTTTTGAGCCAATTGGACTATTTTTCTCTATAAATGATTTTTAGCACCCTTTTCTTTTCTTGTCTGTTTAATTAATGTTGCACCGACTTAATCAATTTTTGTTAAAAAGTCTAATTGAAAGCTTAAACACTTTAAGTGTGGCCAGACTACATGTATAGAGGACTCATTAAAGTAATGCATTCAAGCGGTGAGATGAAACTCAAATGTCCATGCGCGTTAAATTGGTGAACAAAAGAGTCACGAGCACATAATAAACTCGTGGTATGAAGCATGCGGAACTAACTCCGATAACATCCCATCCAAATGTTTAAGTTATTCGTTTAGGAAATGAAACGCATTTCTAGCGTAATACTGTGAATTCTTTTGGAGAATGAATGGATATAAAGTCGAATATTTACTATCTCGGCACAATTAATTTAGGTTTTGGCACGGGATATGCAGGAATAGTGGTGAGCCCAATATTCGAAATCAAATATATATGAGTTATAAATCCACCATTTCGCTAAGCCTAGCAATTAATTTAATTTCTGGCACTGGACATATAGGAATAGTGGCGGGGCCAATATTCGAAATCCAAATATATAGATATGAGTTGTGAATCCACCCTCCTCCTTATTCACACATCATTTGCAATATAGTTTTCTCGATGTTCTCGAAATTTGGTGAGAAAGGCAACCCCACCAACAATTCCTCGCCAAGTTTGAAATTAGACAAAGGATTTTGGCTTTTCTCTATAATGTGACGGACAACTTTTTTGGCTTTTTCTCTATAATGTGACAGACCACTTTTTTGGCTTTTCTCTATAAACGGAAAGCTAGCGGCGAATATCTATATATCGCATAAAAATGAATAATTGGCATTGAGTTTTATATGATAATAGGACCATGGCAATCATTTAGATATCATCATGGTGCATTTCTATATATTGCACGAAATTAAATGAGTAAATATGTCCAATATCCAAACCGTGGGCTGGAAAGGCGGTGATTTATCCTATGGCGGATGCTAGCAATTGGATGATTAATGAATTGTCCATTTTAGAGATAACGGGCCGATCTTCCTCAAAATTTGACATTCGACGGGAAAATTTGGTACCCAGATGAAAGTGCAAGAAACACGTTATCATCATCGCGTGATTACCAAAATGCCCTCCTACGACAAATGAGATGATCATTTAAGGCGGGGCATGACCGGTACTAGAGAGTTTCAATGGCCCAAACAGAATTAATCATAATAAAGGGGGGTGATGAATGATCATATTCCATGGATCCAAGAGTAAATAAAAGGCCAAGTAAAAAATCCTAGACGGGTTGATTGAGACCTCCTTTTCGTCCTTATGTTATGGCGTAATGTATTAATGAGGGGGCATGCCAATCAATACGGCGATTAAGAAGTAATCCTCGGTGAAGCTTGGATGGGAGGGACAAGTTCTTGGTAAGAAGGATATGAAAGTAGATAAACTCGGACCCGATCTAAAGGAATCTTAACAAAGGTAATGCTTTGTTAAGCCTAATCCACGTCCATGCCCGTGTCCACGTCCGTGTCCGTGTCCGTGTCCATACCCGATGATCCACCGTGGCGCGAGTTGTCCAGCCCAGGTCAATGCCCACGCGCGACCTTAGCGCGTCCCCATCAAGAAGAGCCTGCTAATCCTAAAGACGCCGGCTTTTTTCACGGCAAAAGATAATCAAATAATAGCAAAAACAAAAGGGAAAAATACAGGGCGCTACCTGTTTCGAGTAGTGGGAAATAAAAGAAAAGTGCAGCTCAAAAAATAAAAGTAAAAAGTGAAAAAAGGGGAGAAATTCCGGAAGAGAGTGGACTGCAAGAGCTGTCTCTCACCGGACACAGAGGAACTTCACCACTGCATTGTCGACTCTGGTCCCGGTACAACTTCCCTCACGCATGTGAGAAAAGTAAACAAATATGCTGCTTTTGAATGAGTGTCCTTTTCTTTTCAGAGAAAAGTAGTACATTTTATCTCTACCAAATCAATAACTTTCTTTGGGCAAGAAAACGTACTCTGCTGATAATTCTGCAGGTGGTTATGAAACAAATTTTATAAGCTATAATCTCCCCGCAAATGCAACTGTTTGGCTGTTAATATGGATTAAAATCTTCTCAAGCACTGACAACATATCTCTCTGCATTTTCTTGAGAATGAAGGCTTTTTTTCAAGTATCTCACTAATAAGTTCGCCCATTTGAAACCTGTGAGCTCAATAAGATTACTCATTTAAATATAGGACAACATGGCACTATAAACTTCAGTATACTTCCAACTTGGCTCGAGTCAGGAGATACCATAGAATCAAGTAAATATGCAGTTTTCTTGTTTTTGGACGGAATATCTCCTTTTCCAAGGATCATGATGTCATCTGCGAAGCATAAGTTGGTAAGGTTTGTTCTCCAACGACGAGGATGAAAATTTGTCTTCCCTTGTGATGCTCACATTTTGAGAAGCTTACTAAGTTCCTCAATAACCTAACCAGACAAGTGTGGATAAAGTGGGCTGCCTCATCGAATTCCTTCCTTCCCTTGAAAGAACCCCTTTAAATCCTCCATTAATAGAAATTGAAAAAAGAGGAGCAGTAATGCGATATTTGAACCAGTTAGTGAATTGAATTGGAACATTAATAGGCTCAAGAATATTTAGAATGAATTCCCATTTAACTGAATGAAACCCCTTCATTATATCTGCATTTATATGAGATATTGGAGACAACTATGATAATTACTTGCAAGTCATGTGCAATCACCGGATTATCCTCAAATTTCCTCCCCTCCATGATTGCATTTTGATTTGAGCTAACAAGATAGTGAAAAATCCGCTCTAATCTCGAAACAAGAATCTTAGTGATGCATTTATCTATAACTTTGCAGCAAGGAATGGGTCTGAACTCTATCGTTCTTACATAATATTCTACTTTAGAAACTAGTGTTATAGCTGTTGCATTCACAAATTCATCATTTGCATGTGTGAGCTGATAAAATCAGTTTTCCTTTCTTCTGATTCACTTTCGAGGAGAAAAGACAGTTCAAGATTTAAAAAAGACAAGGAGCAAGTGACATGGAAAGATAAGTTCATTGATTCTCCTATAATGCATTCTGTAACTCATAAACTTCCTTTTCCTCCTAATAAGCATACAATTGCATTCTTTAAGTTTCCACCCCAACATTGTAGTTGATACATAAAAGTTTATATATTGAACGTGCCAAACGAGTAGTATCCTAAATTAGATACGATAATACAAAATGGCAACATGGTGTCGTGGTGGATTTTTGTGCCTTTTGGAATTCAGACTTGCTTATTAAAGAAATCTCTCACGTGAGAAACCCGTTATGTTCATAATCTTCCCACCGATGGAAGGTACATACACACTCTCTCTCTCCTCAGAAACCCAGCTCTGCCTCTTCTAGCTCACCAGTTGGCCGTCGAAACCAAGGTGAGTGTCATTCCCCTCTCTCTGTGTGCTTCTCAAATTGCGACGAGCGGTGCTTTCTAGTGTTTGCATCTTGCACTGCTCTGTCTTTGTTGAAGTACGATGTGTATTCATGCCTTATGAGATTTATGTGTTGACGCTGCTATCTTGTCGTGGTGGCTCATTGCTTGTGGTCGTTGTCATTGTCGCTGTTGTTTGTAGTCGTTTCGAATGGAGAGTTCGCCCGCGGGAGCATCTGATTTACAAAACACCCCGGGAGCTCTAGTGCTGGATGATTTTGTTCAGGAGCGTGGTGATTGCCCCCGTGAATGTCGTTTGCTTCTGGAGGAACTTCACCGCTGCATTGTCGACTCTGGTCCCGGTACAACTTCCCTCACGCATGTGAGACGCTCTTCCTTTTCATTACCTTTCGCTTCTAAGCCAGATAGAGTGGAAAACTTTTTAGTGGCTTCGCTTTGCATTGTTGATTACTTTGTTAGACCCCAGGACATGGTCGGTATATGCTGCAGTAATGAGAGTGCAGTTTGTGGCATACTCTTTTTCCTGTTGGACTATAGTCATGGTATGCCTAATCACCTTATGATTGAGCATTTAGGACCTTTTAGCATCTTTCATAGGCGTCATTTAATTACTTTAGAGACTCCAGGATACCACTGTTAGTTAATCTGATGAACATTTTGTAGTAGCAATCTAGTAGATGTATAAGTTTATTTACTATGATCTGCATAGCCGTAGTCTAGGATTGGCTGCTGATATATTTACTGATATTTAGTATTTTGTATACAGGCGTATTTTGGGCAAGTTTAACCCCCCAAAAAAACGCCAATGTTAAATGAAAGTTCCTCATTCACTTTTGTTTCTATAGGAGAAAGAACCTTCTTCTTACTTGTTCAATGTTTGTGAGAATTGTTTATTCATGTGCTGCTCTGGCTAGAGTTTCTTTTAATGTGATATTCACATTGGTAGATTCTGATTTTCTTGATTTAGTAATAGGCTGAGTTATTGCATTTGTGCAGTAATTCTTTATACTAGATCAGATTAATGGCCAAATTCATCCGAGATCCTTGAAGTTTAAGAAGAACATCTGTGGAAAACCCAAGGTATGTTCATACTTACAATGGCTGGAGATTTTGACCTCTGTTATCAGTAACTTGTTTAATGTTTATTTTGTGGTAGTTGGAGTGGGACAATGATCAATGCCAGTGTGCATCACTGGTCCAATTTAATAACTCACACACTTTTTCTCTTATACTTTGTGGAGTGACTGTTGATTCACCGGTTTGTACTCCCGTATACTCGCAAAGTATTATTTCTTCAAGCATCGTCTTAAGTTTCCGTGATAGTCCACTAATGATACTGATTCGCTCTAGTTTGCTCTCCTTATTTGTAGATAGGTGTTGATCTTGAAGAGAAGCAAAGGAGATTGAAGAACAATATCGTAGCCTTTGCTAGGAGGTACTTCACTCCACATGAAGTGCAAATTTCGAGTTACCTTGGAGTTCAGCATCAGCATTTTGTAAAATTGTGGACTCTCAAGGTGCACGGATTCTCTCTATTATTTTGAGATCTCAAAGTGCATTTTGTAGCATTTTGGAATGATCACCTGCTTTGGTTTTTTCTCATTTTATCATGTTCAGTATCAGTTTTGTGCCATGTGGCCTTCAATCAGAGAAAATAGTGGTATTTCTGGTGCATTTTCTTTTTCTTCTGTCCTGAAGGCGATGTGCAATTTCTGCACCATGTATCATTAGTGATTGCTAGATGGGAAATATTTTGTGAATATATACTCTGTGTGATGTTTCTCATTGATGGTGAGAAATTTTGGAGAAACTGCATGAAAACCGCTGAATGTGAGTCTCAAAAGTGAAAAAAAAAATGAAATTGTTTCAAGTTCTGCTGATCAGATTATCTTGCTGCTGAAGACATAAGCAAAACGCATTTATGAATGAAACATTAGTTTCACAAGGCTTAAGTAGCCTATTCTCTGTAATCTTCCATTTAAATGAAATTCTGCTTCAGGAATCTTATGTGAAGGCGTTGGGAAGAGGCTTCTCTGCACTACCCTTTAAAAGATTTTCCATACGATTCAGGAAAGCCGAGAAGAAGGTTCTTGTCCTTCCGGTGAATCACATAATGAGGTACAAACATAATTGTTCAACAGACCTGCAACCTGCTTCGGCTTTCACCTTTATGCTTCACTTACAAATCTTAGCAAGCAATGATTTGCATCTGTGGCCAAATCTACAAATTCTGCAGCCAGTCCAGATCTGGAATCCTTTTGTCAATTTTCGTACAGTATAGCTGCTGAAATTGCATGTTTTTGTCATGTTTATCTTGAGACCTAAAATTTAGGGCTGGATTATAGCAAATGCAATTGTAATATAGCAAATATTTTTATGGGCTTGCCATGCACTGCATTTCATGCCTTGAGACTCATCTTCTATTTGTTCAATTGCAATTATAATCTTCTAATTTACTCAAACGAGTGTACTATAACGTAAAACTGTTGGAAAATATATGCCTTTCCTTCTTTACTTGGATGGTCCTAGTGTGTTGTTGATCTGGTTCCTAAGATATGAATAAATTCCTCCATACCACAACTTACCGATTTGATTTTGTACCACTCTATTCATGTTCTTCTCTGTGGTTCATCATGTGAAGCCTGTCTTTTGTGAATTTATGGAATTCTAGAGTCTGCATTTCACTTTACAATATGCTCAGGGTGAGATAATTGTGGAATCTCTTGAGGACCTTTATAGCTTCAGCAGTGATTGGCAGTTCACTCTGCTGAAATTAGCAGGCTCTCACCATGCTGCCATCTGCATGGAAAGGGGTGAAGCTGTCAAAGGTAAGATCTTTGTTTTCACTGTACATTTTAGGGATAAAGCAGGTCCATGCGCATTAGTCGGACCAAATAATTGTTGCAAAGGCCAGAATGTTTAAGTGTTTGCTATTACTTGCCGTATGTGAGAGATGAACTTGTTTCTAGACCCGGTGCTGTTGTAATCAGTGGCTTGACTTGAGGATTTATTATTTGTGTTCTGTGGTACCATTTATGGCTATGCTGTGCGGTAACAGTTGCTAGCAAGAATCTCAGTAATATGGATGTTAGCGTCAAATCCATAGTCATTTGATGCTCTTGATCCGCTTAAGAAAAGAAAAAAAGAAAGTATTAGTTAATGGAAGATTTTACAGGAGTGGTATAATGGGCGCTTTTAGTGACCTTGAATGGTTAAGTGTGCTATCTCCGTATGGCTTCATATTTGTGACTCTGATAATGGGTTTGACCATTATACTAGCACCATATTACAAATTAATTACTGAAATTTGATACGACAATTGCATTAATCATGGAAAAGAAAAAAGTACTTTTCCGAGAAGAGAAGGCAAAGTGAAGTGTATACACTTCCTCATATTAAAAATGAAGTGTGAGGTTTATCACCCTCATTACGTTGTACGGCTCAAGTGACCCATGCACTGGGAGAAAATATTGGATACCTAAATGCCTCGTCACCACTAGTGAAGTGAAGCTGATGCCGGGCCTACAGCTTCAGTCAGATGTCCTCATGGGCAACTTATGCCTGAGCTGGCTGCTGGTGCTAGGCGTTTGCTGGCTCCTGAGATTCTTTGGCTCTTCTTTTACAAAGATGCAGTAACTGTTTCCCTTGGTTTGGCTCACAATGTGGAGAAATTGTGTGAATGCTAGCGGCAAGAACACTTTGTCGTGCAATGAACCTTAATGTGCATTACCTAGGTAGGCGTTTGCTGGTTCCTGAGATTCTTTGGCTCTTCTTTTACGAATAAGCAGTAACTGTAGATCCTGATGATCCTTTGGGTTGTCCTAGCTTCCCTATTAGTTCAGAGCAGTGCTCCCAGTGCAGTGAGAAAATTTCAGAAGTGGCATGCCTAGAAGACTCTACGGTTAGATAGATGCCTTTGTGAATACAGATATTGTTGATGGGCTTACATGTTCTGGCACTCGTATCTTCACTTTGTGTACATCTGTCTGTTTGGATGATATGAGCTGATTACTTGGATGTTTATTGATTTTTCTAATCATGGCTGCAGAGTGGTGAAGAACAAGCAGCGTGAAATGAGAAGCCAGCTGCCGGTAAAAGCTTTCCACTCCTTGCCTGTCACGAGTATTACTTGTTGCCCTTGGAAAAATTATGTGAATGCTAGCGGCAAGAATGAAAACCTGTTTATATGGCTTCATTTTTATTAATCTGTTTTGCCTCCTCTCAGAGCTAATCATAATTTGTTTGGTTGGGTTCGTTGTGCAGGATATGAAGTTCCAAACTTGAGGTATAAACGATTCCCCTGTAATCCTTTCTTGCTACTTGCCACTTGAATTGTTTTCATTCTTCCCAGACCATCTCTGTGTGTATGTCTCTACTGGGGGTGGCGGCAGAGGTCATGCATGAATGAAGACTTTCCTTCTTTTTTGTCTACTATTTATTTTTTATTTTGCCTTTTTATTGCATTTTCAAATGCTTCACAGTTCACGATGTTATGACTTTCCTCTAGCTTTATGCATTTAAATTAACAGACGATTGCTAAGGTCTAGATAAGGTGATGATGTGTTTGTTTCCCTTGAAAACTAGAGAAGTCAGAGGAACCACTTCCTTGACAGCTTATCCAATGTTGCAGTCAGGTTGTTCTCTTATGACGAAAATCCTCAGGGTCTGACTCTGGGCCTTCTCTTGAGGTAGATCTTGAGATGCTCTACAGTTTTTTGGATAGTGGATATTAGAGAAGCTCTGGTATTCAGAATGTCCAACTGGGGGTGAGATTCTTCTATCTCGACTCAAGTGTCTCAAGCAATGAGCTTGGAGATCTCTACCAAAAAAGCAGGCCCTTGTCATGTAATTTGATATGTCTTTTCATTAGTAATATTGAACTGTTATTAGTCAAGGACCTTCTAATCTTCCATACTGATGAAAGCCTACTGTACGTGATGCTTAAGAATTCCCTTATGGTGATCAATCTCTTGAAAATCTTAACTCAAAATGATAGAACTTCAGGTTTGGCCATCTCTTCAGTTAATTGCCAGATAACTCTGCAAACAGATTGTTAAGCACTCTTTTTTGTAGTCTCCACCGACTCTTCATTGTAAAACATGAATTCTTGTGGGCATAATTTTTATGTTCGAGAGTTACCAGCTCTAGTCAAGATCTTGGAAGCTGAATAAATTATCTAAAACTCATAATCCAAGGCCTAAATTTTTTGTTTAAATCCTCTTTAAATCTTCGCTTATTTCTTCTGTAGAGAATATACATGCGCCATACAGGTTCGTATGCACTGTAAGTTATTAAAGAGTGTGTGTGTGTGTCACGGATTTGCTCATCTTTTGATTACCTCGTTCTTAACCTTATAATCAGCTGTTTGTTCTTATGGATAGGAAGCTTGCCGACAAGGTCGCAGCTGCTGGATTTTATATGGTTGGGCCTGATTTTTTCGGTGGGGATCCTTTTGTACCTGAAAATGCCAAAAGGCCTGTCACGGAATGGCTAAGGATCATGGAACTGTGGGTTCTCGATCTTTAAATTCATAGACACTTGCTGTTTATTTCTTAGAAACTGCACTAGTATTATTCATAGGTTCATCCAGAATTGCCTATCTCAGGATGCTCACTGTTTTCCCATGATTGATTAGTTGCTTAAGCTACGACTCATAATTATGCATCCATTAGTAATTGAAATTGCTGATGCCAAAAGAATTTTTTTGGCAGGATAAAGGGTATGAAGATGCAAAGCGAATAGTTGAAGCTATAAAAGGTAAAGGTGCGTCTGTGATTGGGGCTGCTAGCTTTCGTTGGGGAGGTAAGCAGACTTGTTCCGAATGATTCTTTGAAAGATTTCATTTCATGTCTTGAAGGATATGCTTTACAAGCTTGTAATATCGTGCAATGCTCATGGGATCTTTATTTCTTCAGCTCTGGTTGAGGTTGAGCTGGCAAAGACGGTCGTCGAAGCTGCTTTGTTATTACATCCGAGGTTTGTTTCCATGGATGACATTGAGGGTATGGTTATCTTTATTTTTGGTGTTTTATTAGGCTCTTGGTTTGCATATTTTCAAAGCCAACAATCACTTGAAGTAGCTGTAGGAACCTCCTTTCCACATTTTCACTGTTATGCACATGAATTCATTGCATATGGCTTGCATAAAGAAGAAAAGCATCTCCTGATGGCTTGGAAAGTTGGAACATACACGTCGTGTGTAAGATATGACATTTTTCTTTGCTCTTTATAACCTCTGAAGAAAATCCGTTTACTCTGCTTACCTCGATGCATTTCCATGGTAGCTATTGCAAGATTAGACGTGCCTGTGTTAACAACACATCACTATAATTTATTAGCTTCGTTAGTTTTGCACCTTACAGTTACATGCGATTTTGCAGGAGTTAAGGCTCCGATAGCTATATTAGGATCTGAGATAGACCGTATGTCACCACCGGAACTCCTGAAGCAGTTTGAAGAGATTCTAGCTGCCAAATCCGAGGTGAGATTGAGATAATCGACCTTTCCTGATCCCAATCTATGTTTGCATGTTATGAACGATGCATTGCTTTGGTCATATCTATTTTCAACAGTTTTTCATTATATCAATGGCATCCATTCATGATCACATATCAGAATTTCTGCGGTGAAACATTTCAGGGGTGATGGTTCTGATTTATTCTTCGATTTTTTACATTTGACGTCTAACCTATGGTTCTTGAGTTCATGCACTTCTATTTGCTTTCCAATTGGGAAGTTTGATATATGCGAGCCACTCAGAGATTTTGCTTCGTCCCTTTGTAGTAGAGATTTTGTGTGAATATAAGACTGTTTCGCAGGTTAATGCACGAGTGAAGATATTTCCAAAAGTTTCCCATGGGTGGACTATCAGGTACGATGTCGCTGATGGAGTGGTGAAGTGTGCCGAGGAGGCGCATTCGGATATGCTGGAGTGGTTTGCAAAGTTTGTCAAAGTGAGGGAAGTCTTTGGCATCCGTTGAACCCCTACTCTCTGGCATGTGACAACTTGTGTAGTAAAGTCGATGCTATTTACTTTCACATTATGTGATTGACTGGAAAACAGAGAGCCTGTGGGGATTTTGTTTTCTGTTTCTGCATCTCGACTCAAGTTCTTCTGTAAAGATTAGACAGAGATAGAATCTCTCCCGATCGACGCTTGTATTCTGTTTATGATGATTTGGCAATGCTTGAGTCGGACTTAGGATGAACATATACTGAGTTTTTTTTTTTCGTTCTTCTTCCATGTGAAAAGAGGATGAATTCACGCTCAACTCACTATTAGTCAAGAACTATATTCACAATGGATTATGACCCTCAAGGCCTCTTCATTCAGCATTCTTGCTCGAAAGCTTTCAAAACTTTAGATTTTTGAGGTGGGTGCACATTCAATTTTGCTTGTCTCGTGGTTCATTTGCTTAGCAACCGCACATTTAGAATATTTTTATCACTGGATTCAGAAAATTATCCGCCAAGGTTGGTCATGTTAGCAGAGCAATGAGTTGGCAAATAAAAGTCAGCATCTTGCGCTAATCCTAAGTTCAACGCTTGGAACTTTGCTATCCGCTGATGAACACTCCCAAAAGAGGAGACATCAAAGAAAAGGGACACGAAAGCTCTGTGTTTCACAATCACAACAAGCAAAAGAAAATGCAGTGAAGAGTCGCCGCCGTTTAGATAAGAGAATAATGTGTCACCATAATTATGCTTTTTTTTTTCATTTTAATGAGGTCACACAACAAATCTTTCATAGATTTTCGAATTTTCTTGAGTAAATAAGTAACAACAATCATAATGCAATAGCCAACTGACCGGACCTTGAACATAAAGCAGGTGATCAATTGTGTGTCCTCCAGCTCTAAGAAGAAGACATTCGATAAAATATCTCCTGTAAGCTACAAAAGAAATTCCGCAACTGTGCATTGCATGCCATTGAAATAATCGTTGGGGAGCAGGTAAGTTGCCATGGAAATCCAAAAAATGTGCTGTCATGTAAGAGATCATAATATCACTTCTTGCATGATCATGCCTATATGACAACATTACTAAATTATGAAATGCAAGAAGGGTTAGGAACTTTAAAATGGTTGGTTCCTCAACCAACTGCTTGGATAAGGAGACAAGATCCAGTTGCTTACAAGTAATGCTGGACCGACTGATTATACCTTATAATACTACAGTTGGCCAATGACTCATGCATGCAGAGAGACCAGAAGAGAAAGGAGATTTTAAAGGTTCAACTTCATGAGGAATTTTCCTGTCATTGATGTTGAAGTCAATGCCTTTCAAGGAGCTGTGCATGGCAATATAGAACTCCCTACTCAGAGCTAGATCATTCGTTACGACATCAGAACCGTAGGCACATATCCTTCTGACAGAGTCAACATTGTCGCGACTTGTCCTCTCGTTTGTACAAGGTTTCTTCAAGACAAGCCAAAGCAAAGTCGTAACCAAGCAGCAACACGTCGATATGTTGAAGTCAATGCCTCCCAAGGAGCCGTGCATGGCAATATAGAACTCGGAGCCAGATCATTCATTACGACATCAGAACCTTAGGCACATATTCCTCTGACAGAGTCAACATTGTCTCAACTTGTCCTCTCTTTTGCGCAGCAGCGCGTCACTTCGAAATGCAGAAAGAGGGTACAAGATCTTCATCAGGCAAATCAAGAAAGCTCCTCAATGGAACTTCAGAAGTAAACGAGCGGACGATATAGGAAATTTGTCCAAGAGCAAGAGAACTTCCAGGAATTGGCGATGGAAGCTGCTATAACCTTACCTTTTCCTCTGCTAGATCTAGATCCACTTATTCTCCTCCCAACCCTGCACCCCCACCACCCACCCCACCACCACCACCACCCCCCCCTCATATAGGGGCATAGCTGCTTTTTCTCATCTCAATCCAGGAAATTCATATGCAGAATTGAATTCAGGTTCCCTGAGCTGATTTGACATATAAAGAAGCGTCTGTTCTGGAGCAACTCCAGATTTTGAAATGAAGGTCAAGAACTCTGCTGAAGGTCAAAGCAGCGTTCATCTGGATATTCCTCAGCTTCAGAAGAAAACTGATACTATCATTTCACCCGCCACAATCTTTGAGCCGCAAACTAGTGCTGGTAGGAGAGATGGAAGCAGCAGAAACTCTATTTCCCCCACATTACCAGCTATTCCTGCCCCGGAGAAAAAGCTGACTCTGTTTGCTCTCCGCCTTGCGGTCCTCGAAAAAGCTGCCACTGGCCTGGGAGCCCTTGGTTTCATCTGGGCAACGGTTGTACTCCTGGGGGGCTTTGCCATTACCTTCGACTTCTGTTTCATCACCATCATTTTATTAATTGGAGGAGCTCGAATATTCAGCAGGAGTCGTGAGCTGGAATGGCAACACCAGTCCACTTCATCAACAGCTGATGCCGGAATTAGCAGCTTCCGAAAGCTTAGATCGAGCTCTAGAGCTCTAGTTGAATCCGTGAAGGATATGTTGAGTCCCATAAGCTCTGCTACGAGATAGCAAAGTCAACACAGCTGGGAAATTTCCGAAACTACAGATGCGACAAATGTCAGAGAGCAGAAATTGCGAAGGAAGCCGACCCGGAAATGGACTTCTACGGAAGTTCCCATTCTACCTTATGGAGGGTGGGTTTTCCTTTTGAGAAATATCAGCAAGATTTTCTATTGGTTTCAGCTCTTATCTGCGATAACATGCGTCGTGCTCTCATTGATGAAGCTCATCAAGCACAATTATGGTGAGGCAGCTAAAGGAGACACGGACAAGAGGAACCGGAAAGCTGCTCTGATTATCTTTTATGCCTTGGCTTTGGCAGATGCTCTGGTCTTCCTGACGGAGAAACTTTACCGGGAATGGAAGGTAGTCATCTGTAAGCTTCTCGAAGGGGTGAACAAGGAATGTGATCCGGGGGCTTAAGGTATGATCTCAACTCGGAGATTTTTCTATGACTCCTACTTGAGATGTATTAATGGGAGCATTTTTTATGGCCTGAGAATGGATATGGTGACTTTTGCGATGGATCTCTTATGTTCAAACTCGCTGGATGAGCAGCTCATAGGAGCCAGGATTCTTCACCGGTTTGCTAAAACAGAACGGGTTTCAGATGACACGCTTCAGAAGATCGGAACAACTCTGCCACTTATAGAGAGACTGGTGGAGATCTTAAACTGGAAAGATCCACAAGAAGAAGAAATCAGGTTATCAGCCGCAGAAATAGTTTCCAAATTAGCCAGGAAAAAGCAAAACTCCCTTTGGGTCGCTGGAATACCCGGGGCAGTGGAATCAATATCATCTCTTCTACGGACAAACAGAAGCCCCAGTTCTACAGCAGACAAAATTGGCGAAAAGAAAATCAACTTTGGCCATGGGGACAATGGATACTTTCAAAAATTTGGGGCTACTCATTCTGAAGAAACTAGCCTGTGATCACAATAACTGCGGAAAAATTGGAAACACAAGGGGCCTTCTTTCCAAAGTCATAGATTTCACTCATGCTGATGCAAGAATATTGAATGACTCAACCATCACAACATCACAGGTTTTGACTGTTAAAAGATCCCTGCAAGTTATTAAGATGCTGGCAGGCACAACGGGTACCACAGGGAAAAATCTCCGGAGAGAGATCTCGGAGATAGTCTTCACCATAAGCAACATAAGAGATATTCTACGATACGGAGAGAAATGACCGGAACTGCAGAAACTAGGGATTGAGATCCTTAAGAGTTTGGCACAGGACGACAATGCGACGAAGCGAATAGGAGGCACCGGCGGAGTTCTGAAAGAACTGTTAAAGATTTTCTTCCAAGAAGGAGTGCCGGAAGATCAAAGGGATGTGAGGATTGTGACCGGAGAAGCCCTGGCTACGCTGGCTTTCGAGAGTAAGAGCAACTGTCATCGCATCTTGAAGTTAAATGTAGTGGAGAGGCTCCTAGAAGCATTGGAGATTCTGCTTCTTCATGTTAATGCTGGAAGAATTTTGAGGAATCTGTGCACTTACAGTGGGCCAGAGTCCTTCAACCAGCTAAAGGGAGTAACAGCAGTGGCACCAACAATAAGTGCATTATTTTGCAAAAATGAACCTGAGCCGGCATCTCAGTAACCGGAAAGGGCAGTTATTTACAAGTTTAAGTTGTCCTAGAGAGTGATATTAATTGTTCCTACCTAACCATATTTCCTCAACTCAGGTTCTCAAGGCAATCTTGCCAGGAGAAGGCAAACTACAAGAGGTGATGGTTGGGTTAGCGGCACATGCTTTCAAGTTCATGACAGCAGAAGAATCGACTGCCGTCTTCGTGAAGGCGGGGTTTAGAGAAGCCGAATTAGCTTGCACTTTGGTCAAGATCCTGAAGAGCTACCGGAACCCAAATATAAAGGTGCCAAGAATGACAAGGTTTGCCATCGAGCTGGCAAACTGGATGATGAGAAACAAATTGACGAATGTGCAGATCTTCAGGGATCCGGGCATGGAGGAGGAGCTTGAAGGTGTCATGGATACCACACCAGAGCTAGAGAGCTTCAATATTTTCTCTGGCACCATTGGACTAAGCAGGCACAGCACGACCATTCACTCACTTGTTGAGACCGCACTTATGCTGCTGAAGAACAGGTTTGATCAACCGATAGGTTACTGAGCAAGTGATGAAGCCAAATTATCCAACAAATGGGAAACATGAAGGTCTGCCGGACTACATATTTCATTCTCTAATTCCAGAAGCAAAGAAATAAAGGTAATTGCTTCTTTAGCAGCTCCGCCCGGCTTAAGTCTGATTAAATGCTTCTGCAAGTTATCGCCTTCCTTGTTTGTTTGCACGGAATTTGTGCAATTTACAGCACACTGCGTGTACTACTACCAAAACATATGCAAGATATGTACATGCAGCCACACATTCTTTTATTTTACAATTTTACTCCTGAACATGGAAGCATTCAAGAGTTGCATGTACCGTGATTTTGAGCTCACTACTTCTGCTACTAAAAGATCAGGTTTTTCCTTCCAAATCTTGTTCTACTTAGCAGCGTATCAAGACTTAAGGACGACATAGTCCAAGGCAATCATCACATAGTTTTCAAATGACTACACAAGAACAAGAATCCAAAAAGGCAATTCACCGTGCAACTGAAGTCGATAAAAAAGAAAGAACACATTGCTTACTTTGTGACAACAGAAGGAAATCTCACCATGAACCCAGAAATTATCTGCATTGTTCGCTTCTCTGAATCCCCCCCTGAACAGAACGAGATGAGAACCAAAATAAAAAATGGTAACTTGCAGTTGAACACTTCACTCTATAAAACAAAAGGCAATGAACTAAGCTCATAAACTACGAGAACCGAGACATTCTTGTGATTGAGTTCGCGAGAATACCTTTTTACCCGTCAGGATCAGGGAGTTTCGGAGCTGAGACGAGTGATGATCGAGCGTCCAGATGGCGAGCATGCTCAGTCGCCGCGAATTGCCAAAATGAAGAACAAATGGTGGAGGGAAAGGTAAGAAACGGAAAGAACGAAATTCAGTTAAAAACCGTTAACCCCAAACAAGAAATTGAAAAAGAAATATTACTCAAAACAGTCTCAAGTCACAGTCCCACGACTTCCCTGTATATTCAAGCCAAAGAACACGTTGTTGTCTCGACTTTAAATTTTTCCAAATTGCCCTTAATTACTTTCGCTCATCAGCATCCATTTTTCGAACGACCACTCACCTTTTTTCTTCTTCTTTTTCACTATTAAATTTTTTGAATTGTCCCTACTTTCTTTATCTTATACTAGGCTGCGACACATGTCATTTCCCTGGTTGAATATTAACGGATATCGGGGCCAATAAAATTGCGACTTTTTTCTTCGTTTTAATGACGTGGCACATAACAAATTTTCTTTTCGGGTAAATGGTTCGTGGGTATTCGAATTTTCGCAAGTAAATAGTTGTAATTTCTCATCATCTAATAATAGCCACCTAACTGGACCTTACATACAAAGTAGGGAGTCAGGGACCATTTGTATGTCCCCTAGCTCGAGACGAAGACTTTCGATAAGACATCTCCAGCAAGCTACAAACGAAATGCCAAACTGCACTTGACAGGAAATTGAAAGAATCGTCGAGGAGCAAGCGAGTGGCCGTGGAAATCCGAGAATGCGCCTGTCATGTAAGAGATGACGATATTGACTCCTTGCACGATCATGCGGCTACGAAACGCATTACTAGATTTTGACGCAACGAACTGCTGTAATAAGGAGGCAAGACCCAGTTGCTCACAAGTAATGTGGCGGTTTCCAAACTGGACCGAATGATTATGAATATTAACAGTACAGTTGACCAGATGACTCTCATGCACAGAGAGACCCGAAGAAAAAGGAGGCTTTGAAGGTTCAACTTTATGACTAATCTTCCTTCCAATGAGGATAACGCCGATGCCTTCCAAGGAGCTGTGCATGGGGATGTAGAACTCAGACCCAGATGATTCATTGTAATATCAGGACCGTAAGTATATGTTACTCAAGCAGAGTCAATATTGTCTCAAACTTGTCTTCTCTCTTGTACAAGTTTTATTCAACACAAGCCAAAGCAGTCACCAAGCAGCAAACGCGTCGCTCCGATGTGTGGAAAGAGAGCACGAGATTTTCATCGGGCAATCACGAAAGCTCGTCAATGGAACTTTAGAAGTAGAAGTAAACAAGCCAACGATATTGGAATTTGGTCCAAGGGCAAGAGAACTTCCAGGAAAGTTGGCAATAGAAGCTGCTTAACCCTACTTTTCCTCTGCTAGATCCATTTATTCTCCGCCTCCCACAACTGCTTAACCTTACCTTTCCGAATTATCAATCTTAGGTGAGTAGACTCAGAAAAATTTCCAAATCATGTCTCCCCCCACCCACCTCTCCCCTCTCCCTCCCCCCCCTCCCCCCCCCCCCCCTCCCTTCTTATAGAGGCATAGCTGCTCTTTCTCATCTCTTTTTCTCATCCCAATCCAGGAAATTCATGAACAGAATGTTTGGAAATTGAATTCAGGTTCCATTGAACCGCCAGATAGAAGTTTTCCTCAGCTGATTTGACGTATAAAGAAGCGGCTCTTCTTGAGCCCCTCCAGACTGCGAAATGACGGTCAAGAGCTCCGCTGAAGGTCAGAGCAGCATTCATTTGGATATTCCTCAGATTCGGAAGAAAAACGAAACCATCATTTCACCCACCACAATCTTTGAGCCGCAAACTAGTGCTGGTAGGAGAGATGGAAGCAGCGGAAACTCTGTTTCCCCAGCGCTGCCAGCTGTTTTAGCCCCGGAGAAAAAGCTGACTCTGTTTGCTCTCCGCCTTGCGGTTCTCGAAAAAGCGGCCACTGGCCTGGGAACCCTTGGTTTCATCTGGGCGACGGTTGTACTCCTGGGGGGCTTTGCCGATGCCCTAGATAAAACCGACTTCTGGTTCATCACCATCATTTTATTAATTGAAGGAGCTCGAATATTCAGCAGGAGTCATGTGCTGGTATGGCAACACCAGTCCACATGCTCAATAGCTGATGCCGGAATTAGCAGCTTCCGAGCACTCAGATCGAGCTCTAGAGCTCTAGTTGAATCCGTGAAGGATATGTTCAGCCCTGTAAGCTCTGCTACAAGGAAGCAAAGTCAACACAGAAGGGAAATTTCCAAAACTACAGATGTAACAAACGTCAGAGAGCAGAAATTAAAAAGGAAGCCAGCCCGGATTTGGACTTCTTCCGAAGTTCCTATTGTACCTCATGCAGGGTGGATTTTCCTTTCGAGAAACGTCAGCAAGATTCACTATTGGCTTCAGCTCTTATCTGCGAGAGCCTGCGTTGTGCTCTCATTGATGAAGCTCATCAAGCACAATTTTGGTGAGGTAGCTGAAGGACGCACTGACAAGAGGAACGGGAAAGCTGCTCTGTATATCTTTTATGCCTTGGCTTTGGCAGAAGCTCTGATCGTCCTGACGGAGAAAGTTTACTGGGAGTGGAAGGTTGTCATCTGTAAGCTTCTCGAGCAGGTGAACGAGGAATGCGATCTGGGGGCTTCATGTATGATCTCGACTCGGAGATTTTTCTACGACTCCTATTCAAGATGTCTTAATGGGAGCATTTTTGATGGCGTGGAAATGGATATGGTCACTTTTGCGATGGATCTCTTATGTTCAAACTCACAGGATGAGCAGCTCATAGGAGCCAGAATTCTTCACCGGTTTTCTACGAAAGAACGGTTTTCAGATGACGTGCTTCAGAAGATAGGAACAACTCTGCCAGTTATAGAGAGACTGGTGGAGATCTTAAACTGGAAAGACCCACAAGAGGAAGAAATCAGGCTACTGGCTGCAGAAATAGTTTCCAAATTAGCCGGGAAAAAGCAAAACTCCCTTCGGGTCGCTGGAATACCTGGAGCTATGGAATCGATATCATCTCTTCTCCAGACAAACAGAAGCCCCAGTAGTGCAGCAGACGAAATTGGCGAAAAGAAAATCATCTTTGACCATGAAGACTATGGATACTGGACTTTCAATAATATGGGGCTTCTCATTCTGAAGAAACTAGCCAGTGATCACGACAACAGCGGAAAAATTGGAAACACAAGGGGCCTTCTACCTAAAATCATAGATTTCACTCATACTGATGAAAGAATGTTGAAGGCCTCAAGTGTCAGCACATCGCAGGTTTTGAATGTTAAAAGGTCCTTACAGCTTATGAAGAGGCTGGCAAGTACAACGGGTACCACTGGGAAAAATCTCCGGAGAGAGATCTCTGAGATAGTCTTCACCATAAGCAACATAAGAGATATTCTACGGAGCGGAGAGAAGTGACCGGAACTGCAGAAACTAGGGATTGTCATCCTTACCAGTTTGGCACTAGAAGGCAATGCTTCAGAGCGAATAGGAGAGACCGGTGGAGTTCTAAAAGAACTGTTAAAGATTTTCTTCCAACATGGCATACTGGAAGATCAAAGGGATATGAGGATCGTGACTGGAGAAGCCCTGGCAATGCTGGCTTTTGAAAGCAAGAGCAACTGTCAGTCTGTCATCGAATCTTGAAGTTAAATGTAGTGGAGAGGCTCGTAGAAGCATTGGAGATTCCTCTTCTTAATGTCAATGCTGGAAGAATTTTGAGGAATCTGTGCACTTACAGCGGTCCAGATTTCTTCAACCAGCTAAAGGGAGTAACAGCAGCGGCACCAATAGTAAGTGCATTCTTTAGCAAAAACTGAAGCTGAGCCGGCATCTGGATAACTGGAAAGGGCAGTTAAGTCATATGTGCAAGTTTAAATTGCCCAAGAGAGAATGAAATTAATTTTTCCTACCTAACCATATTTCCTCAACTCAGGTTTTCAATGCAATCTTGTCAGAAGAAGGCAAACTCCAAGAGGTGATGGTTGGGCTAGCGGCACAAGCTTTCAAGTTCATGACAGCAGAAGAATCGACCGCTGTCTTCGAGAGGGCGGGGTTTACAGAAGCTGAAGTAGCTTGCGCTTTGGTCGAGATCCTGAGGAGCCACCGGAACCCTCATACAAAGGTGCCGAGAATGAGAAGGTTTACTATCGAGCTGGCAATCTGGATGATGAGGGACAAATCGATGAATGTGCAGATCTTCACGGATCTGGGCATGGAGGAGGAGCTTGAAGGAGTCTTGGATACAACATCGGAGCTAGAGAGCTTCAATGTTTTCTCTGGCACCATTGGACAAAGCAGGCACAGCACGACTATTCACTCACTTGTTGAGACCGCACTTATGCTGCTGAAGAATAGGTTTGATTAACCAATAGCTTACTGAGCAAGTGATGATGCCAACTCATCCAACAAATGGAAACATGAAGTCAATCTAGACTATACAAGTTTAAGTTTCCTAGAGATCATGCAGTTAATTGTTCCCATCTAACCATATTTCCTCAACTCAGGTTCTTAATGTAACCTTGTCAGAAGAA